CTAGAGCCATATCCGACCACCAAAAAAAGTAAAAATTCTCCTAACCTCTCGGAATTCGATTCTAAGCACTCTTGTGGCCATATTGGAGTAAAATGAACGGCAAATGAGCCATAAACTGCAGGCAAAGCCCGGCGGGGCCACCACGGCCCAAAACCCATAACCTCCTCCGATGAGCCCCTTTTCGGTTCCCGTTTCGTGCGATTTTTCTACCGTTGCATTTACCATTCTATTTTCTGCAAGTTAACCGAATGAGGAATCCTAGCCGCGAAGGAGAGTCGGCAGAGCTGCTGCACCCAGAAACCCCACAACTGGTATGTTTCGGTTCTTGATTTTTTTCAACCAACCGAGACTCCCTAACATATTTTTTGCAGGGATATATGTAAAGTCGGCCAAAACCGGCCAGGCCAAGACAAACCGCCGTCGCCGTGCCGGAATTCTGAAATTAGCCAAATAGATTTTTAACACCGATTTTGGATTTTTTGGGTATTTTTTAGGTACATAGAGCGTGTTTAATCTCTGTAAGAAAATTCAGAAAATCCGAGAACCGCCAGGAGGCGTGGTAGAAAGAACGGTGTTTCAGATACCGATTCGAGTAAGAATCCCTCACTCTATTTCCTATTATGAAATTAAAGCTTAATAATCAATAATATGGTATTTTGTGAAATTTAGAAAAACTTTGGGAATAATCACAGGTCACTAATGGAAGCGAATCCGATTTGTTATTTATTTGTCATATTTAACTGATTATTTGCTTGTACAGCTTTAAATACATGATAATATATTGAAATAGTTAAATAATTTAGTTGTATTTCTTTGATACATATATCACTTGTTTTGCGTGATTTACTGTTAATTGTAAAACGTGAAATTAATATACAAATGAGAAATTGATTGATGATGTAAATTAACAAATGGGTGTCTTACTGGATATCCTGGGAGATGGTGGACGGACCGAGTACGTAGAGAACCCTACCGTGAACGTTACCTCATACCGGATGGGGTATCAAGGGATGATATTTTTGGCACTCATACAAGATAGGGTATGGAGACAACACGATTCAACCTCA